CTAAGTTGGAAGGTGTGGGGGAATTTACCAAAACCAAATTGTTAAGCGTATCTTTGTTATTATAGATATGATTTTTCATAAGATCTAATAATGATAATATTATTAGAAAGTTAATGTAACATGATTTTCTAGTAATAGTCCATTTTTGTAAAAATCACACATGAAGTCAAGTCATGACTTCTGTTTTAATATATAAGATAACAATCAATTAAATTCTATACACAAATAATGAAAATCTATGTAAAATTATTTGATTAAATCTAGTTAACTTGTAAAATCCTCTCAACTAATAGAATCATCAAATTCCACAAAATTCATGTTCTAATAATTTTCCTAAGTCATAAAACAAAACTTTCAAAATATTGTTTTTTTACTCAAGATTCTCCAAATCCTCATAGAAGAATATTTTCATAGACTTCTTAAATATGGAAAACTCATTTGAACTCTTTATAAATTTATCAAATCTATTGATTCTTAAAATCAATCAATTCTATCTAAATTCATCTCCCACTAACCCCCCTAAATAGTGTCACTCGAGATAGGCGCCATCAGTCGTATATCGCTCAGAATGCTCCATCGTGGCTACTTCACCTTCTAGTTTTGGAGGCTAAATAAGTAAGGGAGTGGGTAAATCATGCTTCTCTTTTCATTTGTTGTTATGATGGTGTCTACTGACATCTCATTTTCATGTTTTTAGTTTTTCACATTTGTTTACCCTCGAACTTTGTTCACTATTCAGTGTTATAAAAAAAAAAAACTCCCTACCTAAACTACCCGAAAACCGAAATACTTTAACCGATACCCGAAACGCCCATGCCTAATTTCTAGGATAATTATATATGTACTAAAATGTTATAAAGTTGCAGACGTCGTGTGAAATATCATAAATCAAGTTTATATTACTACAAACCAAATACCCTCATTCTTGTTCCGAAATGTATAAGGAAACTGGAAGTTCGATTAAGTTAATTTCTAATTTAGGGAATTACTACATCCACATGATCCATGTGAAACCTTTAGTTGTCTGTCACCTTGAGGCTTGAACATTGAACATTATTACTCAAAATATTAATAGTTAATCTGATTACAAGTGTTGAAAGGAACATGTACCTTTATATAATGTATCATATTGTAAATGGACTAGACTTCAGTTGAGCAACAATGGCAGCAGCAATGATCACCGTTGACTTTCTAAACTGCTTCATCTTGAGCTTCATATGCTTCTTCTCGCTCCTTTGTTACTATCTCTTCTTCAAGAAACCAAAACATGGCTTCAACTTGCCTCCAAGCCCTCCTTCTCTGCCGATCATCGGGCATCTTCACCTTCTCCTTTCTATTCTACCACACAAGGCTTTTCAGAAGATATCATCTAGGTACGGACCTCTCCTCCACCTCCGTATATTTAATGTCCCATTATGCCTTGTCTCCTCGGCCTCGGTGGCCTACGAGATCTTCAGGACGCACGACTTGAATGTCTCATCCCGTGGTGTCCGTACGTTGGAGAATTCTCTCTTTTTCGGACATGAAACATTCGCAGGCGCTCCCTTCGGAGATTATTTCAAGTTCGCGAAGAAGCTCCTGGTCATGAATCTGTTGGGTACTCAGGCCCTGGAGCGGTCACGAGGCATATGTGCAGATGAGATAGAGCGTTTTTACGCGAGGCTGATGGACAAGGCGAGAAAAAAGGAGAGTGTTGAAATCGGGAAAGAAGCAATGGTGCTCACTAACAACATCATCTCCAAGTTGCTCATTGGGAGGAGTTGTTCTGAAGAGAACGGTGAGGCAGAGAAGGTGAGGGAGTCGGTGATCAAGACAATGAGCGTGCTAAAGAAAGTTTTCTTTTCCAACATGTTTGGTAAGACGCTTAAGAAGCTTGGCGTCTCACTCTTCGAGAAGGAAATTCGAAGAGCCTGCAGCCGGTTCGATGAACTGCTAGAGAGGCATCTCAAGGAACACGAAGAGAAACCGGAGAAACATAGTGTTACAGACATGATGGACGTTTTATTGGCAGCTTCTAGAGATGAAAACGCAGACTATAAGATCACTAAAACCCACATCAAGTTGTTAATGGTGGTAATTGTTTCTTTTCAGAGAAAAATATCAAAAAAAAAAATAATTTTATCACAGATTAAGAAAAAGTTGTGTCTGCATTTTCAGGAGCTTTTCCTTGGAGGCACTGACAGCCCTGCGAAGTTAATACAGTGGGCAATGGCTGAGATCATCAACAAACCAAATACTCTTGAGAGACTGAGGCAAGAAATGGATTCAGTGGTAGGGAAAACAAGGTTGATTCAAGAAACAGATCTACCAAGACTTCCCTATTTGCAAGCAGTGGTTAAGGAAACACTAAGATTGCACCCACCAGCGCCTCTTTTGATAAGAATGTTCGAAGAAGAATGTAAGGTTGGAGGGTTTTCCATACCGGAGAAGACAACACTTGTTGTAAACGCCTACGCTGTTATGAGGGATCCTAATGTCTGGCAAGATCCTGATGAGTTTAAGCCAGAGAGGTTTCTTGCTGAGCAAGAAGAAGAAAGAGAAAAAGTCCTTAAGTTCATTCCTTTTGGCAGCGGAAGGAGAGGCTGTCCTGGAGTAAATCTTGGATATATCTTCGTCGAAATCGGAGTTGGAATGATGGTGCAGTGTTTTGACTGGATAATCAAAGGAGATGAAACTGTTAACATGGAAGAGACTGTTGCAGGATTGTCTTTGACCATGGCTCATCCCTTAATCTGCACTCTTCTTCCTCGAACCGACCCTTTGAGTTTTAATCTCAAGCTTCCTAGTTGATAATTTACAAAATCAATGAGTTCGATCAGAGACCTATAGGGCATTGGCGTGGGTAATAAGGAAGCTTGCTCTTCCATCTCTTTTCATAGAATGTTTGTTTCTTTGTTTACTGGTTTACACTTTTTGCTCTTCAATATTGTTTGAAAATTTGAAAAACCAATGTTGTGACTACTATTAATAATGCTTTAATGTTTAGAGAATGACTTTCTGTCTTAAAGACCTAGGTTCGTATATATGTCCACTGAACAATACCAAAGCTGAGTCGTTGGTTCATCAGTACATGTATATGACTCTAATAAGCACTAGAGTAACAAGTATATACTTAGATAAACCATCAATTGTAACAACAGAAAACCTTGCATCATCCATCATTCTATGTTCACCCATCTGGTAATATGCAAGAGAAACTAACAGGCGAGAAAAGAACAGAAAACCTAGCAATCCACAAAACAAGATAGAAACAAGTAAACAATTTAACTTTTATAAAACAAGAGTACATTGTTCACCCTGGTGGCAATCAAAAAACTTAATCGCCTCCACAACCACCACCACCATCTCCACAACCGCCACCTCCTCCCCCTCCTCCACAACCACCAGAACCATAGATAACGGCTCCAGCAACTGATGTGGCGGTGCCAGCACCTGTCAGAATGACTAGATGTCCATCTTTTCTTCTATACAAAGGCATCTGGAGCTGCAGTGGCTGTGGTGGCCGTGGTAGAGGCGGCGGTGGAGAGGGAAGCTTAGTATTGCGGGTGATGATGCAGCCTACGATGATAACCGCCACTGCTAAAACAGCGCAGGCAACAAGTCCGATCACCAAGTTCGACATTTTCTTAAGTTTCTTCCCTCATTTCTTGAATGAAACTAATGAACTATTGACGTACTTTATCAATACTCCCTTGTAATTTATAAACTCATTTATATATAGAAAGTTTTTTTTTTATCAAAGCTTGACCAAAGATTTATATATAGAAAGCTTGACCAAAGTTATTTAATCTTACAAGAAACTTGTAACACAACAACTGGAGACTCATTCTCCAGCCTCATTCATAACGATCTTATAGTTTAGCGAAACTATTGACCATTGACGGGAAAATGGGTATTTAATTCCCAAACTAATGTAAATCAGCAAGTTTAATACCCAAGTTTCACTTGCACGGATTTAATCCTCATCTATGCTTTGACTATGCAAAATCAGAATAAAAAGTCAACCGTTATGTCTTCCTTAACCATCGTTATTTTTTAATCAAATGGGATTGTGTTTTTGCTCAGAGAACTCCAAAATCCCAAATTAAACCCTAAAAATCTCTCTGCAATTCTCTGCTACACTACATGAGGCAAAATCCGGTGAAAAGTCAACAAAATCCTGCTAGTAATCTTGAAGAGCATCTCGAAGAACATATTTCTTTGGGTTCTACAATGGAGATAAGGGATTTCTAAAAATATGTGGTTGTGGCATTGATGTTATGATAGTTCTACACATCACAGTCCAAAGCTAATCATGGGCATCCTTATTTTCGTTGTGGTGTACCCCAAGAGACAAAGTTATGTAGATGTAGATATCTCTATTTTCATTTTAACCAACCTAATTGTAATGCTATTAAACATAAATCTCTCTCTCTCTCTCTTTTGGAATGTCATTTGTTCAAGTGGGTGGAAGATGGAAGGTATGAGGAGGTGAATGAGCTAAAGGTCAATATTGGTATGCTTGTACTGAATAAGGTGAAGGTTGATATAAAAAAAAGGTGGTGTTTGTTGGTTGAGTGTTTTGGCCTTTGGAGTGGTATATCACATCATATTTCACGAGGGTAATGAAAAACTAGTAGGAGACAATATAAGAGTGTGAGTGTATGTAGTATTTGAGTTTTTGAGTGTTTGAAACTATGTAAGAATGATGTTCTTAAGTTTTAGAAATGATGGTTTTAAGAGATGTTTGTTTTAAGAACATGAGTTTATTTTAGCAAAGTAAGAGTTTACAGAAGCTGTGGAGTTTGGTAATACAATAGCTAAAAGACTAAATTTGACAAATTTATTTTTTAGTCTACAACCCCAAAAGAATTTAATATCCATTTCCATTTTCACGTGCAACTTCTCCAAAGTACTCATATATATCATTAGCAGCTTTCAGAGTTTCTTCTTTTTCTTCTTTGTACATAGTCATCACTCTTTCTTCAGCCATAGGCGTATCTCCTTTATCCATGCTTGTTCTTTATTCACGCATACTTCTCACTCCTGCTTCAAGCATACTCTCCCTAGCAGTTGGAACTTCAGGATCTATGTTATTCGATGGCTTCCTTTGGCTAGGTAGCTTGTTGAGTTTATCTTCCCATCTTCCAGTGAAAATTTCCACCCCCATGTTGGAATCGATTATTGTTTGATTTGGGGAATTTTGAGTTTCTGAGAGAAAACATGATTTTATTTGATTAAAAAATAACGATGGTTAACGAAGACATAACGGTTGACTTTTTTTATTCTGATTTTGCATAGTCAAACCATAGATGAGGATTAAATCTGTGCAAGTGAAACTTGGGTATTAAACTTGCTGATTTTCATTAGTTTGGGAATTAAATGCCCATTTCCCCGACCATTGACATATATTATATCTATTGTTTAGTTTATCATGAGCTTGTTTGATGACAAGCAAGGTTTTGTTATTTACAAAGTGTAACGTTTTATTGTCTATCTGATGAATAGAAACAGTACAACACAAAATATACACTACAACATTAGAAGGGGAAGAAAAGCCAAGAAGATATGGTACAAATAGAAAATATTTTTGACTGATCATACTTAATCATATCTTGAAGGTGAACGTGAATCATACGACCTCTGTGAACCATGAGACCTCAATGAACCTGAAACGTTTGGTCTTGGGAGATGAAACGGATACTGAGGCTGTTTGAGATACCTACAGTTCGAGACCGTGACCTGTAAGTTCAGCTCTGGAAGACGCAGCAGATTCTGACAATCATTGATTCTCAGGCTTCTTAGAGCGTTCGGGCCATACGAATACTCCTTCAAGAGCTGAAAAGACTGCAAAGATATGCAGTTATCAAACTCAAGAGTATGGAGTTTCCCGAAATACCCTAAAGGGAATGTAACGAGAGAGTCACAGCTGCTTTTTATGGTTAGCGTTTGAAGGTTCTCGTAGCTGTACTCGTGGTGGTCTGGCAAGAACTCTAACACTCCGCATTTGTAGATATGAAGAGAGATCAGAGAAGGAAGAAAGGTTGGTAGATTCCCCGTTAGCTCCGGACATCTAAGTATAGAAAGTTTCTTCAGAGAAGGAAACAAGTCACCTCCAGTGACCCTAACGTCTGACCAGTCTTCAAAATCCGGCAGGTTATCAAACCGCAGCGTTTCAAGTGACTTAAACGGCTGTTGGTTCTGATCACGTAGTGATGATGGACTTAAGTAAAACCCGGAACCTATGCTTCTAAACCCGACCATTCCCGAGATGTAAAGCTCTTTGAGACCTGGTAGTTGACCAAAACATGGCAAGGAGGAACAGTTTCGACATTCTTTTAGGCGTAAACACACAACTCTCGAGAACGAGGAATCACTTAGCCAATCTGGAAACTTCTTCCCGTTGTATCTCTCAATGGTTAGCTTCTCGATACGACGATGTGGACGTAACTTCTCAAACACTTCAGCTTCATTCTGTGTCCGGTGAGGATTCAAGTAGCTATCTGAGGTAGTTGAACCAGTTCTCCAGATAAACTCTATCTCTTTTAGATGTTTCTTGCTGTCTAAATTCGCTCCTGCAGCATCAGCAACGTCCACAACTCTTTGTAGCTCGACTATTCTTAGTTTTCCATGGAGTTCATTCAGTTCTCCAAGTTCACAAATCCTTGCTCCATCACTAGCACTCACAAAGAAAGTTGTAAGAGTCTGGAGACTCTTCAATCTACCGAACCTTCGCGGCATTTGTTTTAGCTTCGTCCCAATCAGATCAAGATACCGAAGATTAATGAGGTTGGAGATATCTGTAGGAAGGTCCTTCAGAGAGGAACAGTAGGCCAAAAGAAGTGTCTGGAGGTTATACATATAACAAAGAGACTTCGGAAGCTTATCGAGTTCGGTGCGAGATAGATCCAAGAACCGAGCATGGCTTAAGTTCTTGAAAAAATCTGGAGGCAGCCTTGAGATCTTGTAATGTGATAAAGACATAACACGCAAGCGTGTAAGCGTTGGAAGTAGCTTCTCGCTGACCATTGTATCTAAGCAGCATGAACGCGAAGAGTTTGTGAGGCTGAGTGGTAGAAAAGTTCTGAGAAACTTAACCTCACGAAGAGATTCAAACCTCATAGGCTCACCATAGTCATCTCGTAGGTAAGATAGATATCTTGTCCTTTCTGAAACCTGAAGTTTGCAGCCGTTTTCAATCTTGGAACTGAACTCTCCTGAAGCAAACTGAGAAAGCTCATTGATGAAATCATGCATCATGTATCTCGTCTTGTTTTTTTGGAAAAGCGATCTTGATTCCAGTTCTGAAAAGTACTCATCCCCAAGCTCTTCTAGATTCTTACTACTTCTTGTTTGCTGCAAGAAACCTTCTGCCATCCACAGAAGAATCACCTTCTCCTTCTCAAACGCATACCCTTTGGGGAAAATCGAGCAATACGCAAAGCATCGTTTCAAATGAGCTGGAAGATAGTAATAGCTTACACGTAAAACTGGCAATAGATTGCTCTTATCAGCTGGAAGATCCCAAATCCTGCTGCTTAAAACTCTCTCCCATTCCACGACGTTGTTACCTTCAAAACGTAAAACACCACCAAGTGTTTTCACAGCTAAAGGTAAGCCACGGCACTTGTACACTATCCTTTCCGCAAGTTCTCCAGTTTCTTGATCTAACCACGGATCTTGATTATTAGGAAAAACAGTTTTGATAAACAATGACCAGCAATCTCCATCAGATAATGGCTGAAGGTTGTGTACATGGAAGGAACACATAATGGATGCAACGCGTTGGCTCCGTGTTGTCACAATAATCCGACTCCCTTGAGAAGCTGATGTGAAGGGTTGGCGTAGAAGATCCCAATCCGCAAAGTTTTCATTCCATAGATCGTCTAGAACAAGTAGAAACGGTCCTATTAACCTCTCCTTTAATTTAACTTGAAGTACATCCAAATCGGTGAATTCGCAAGGCCGAGAAGTAACGGATTCATAAACCTTTTTGGTGATCTTGAAAACGTCAAACTCTTCAGAGACATGAGCCCAGACTCTAGTTGCAAAATGACTCTGAACACGTTGATCGTTGTATAGGATTTGTGAAAGTGTGGTTTTGCCAACACCACCAATTCCAACTATAGCTACAACTGTTGTTGTTGTCGGGGTATCGTCTCCGTTCTCGGGAATCAAGAATCTCATGATATCATCCTTATCATTATCTCTACCAACCACTTCAGATTCATCCACGAGAGATGTCGTTGGCAATCTTTGTTTGGGTGTCATTGTAGTTATCTCTTTCAAACCCAAGACATGTCGTTGTGAAGCTAAACGTTCGAGCCTCATCATGACCTTCTCGAGCCTGGTCTCCAAATGATCACTGCTCCCATCCAAAAAATCTCCAAGGGACATTCTGGCACGAAGCTGTCTCAGCCTGTTGGAAGAAGATTCAGCTCCTATGTTGAGACGCAGAGCTTCTGTAGCAATATCATCAAGAGCATCCTCGGCATGGTAGACAACATCTCTAAGCTCGTTGACCCATTTTTCCACGGCGGAGTTTGTAATCTGTTTCTCCTCTGCATCAATCAGCACCGCGCTTATTGTTAACAACGCAGTGTTGAGCCTCTCTAGTACGGTTTCGTTCAGTTCTCGCCTCTTGAAGAAGGACTTGAAAGGAGCAGACATCAACGTCTGGAAGAGAGCTTGTAAGAAAGCCGAGAGAACCATCTCTCCTACAATCATCTTGTCTGTCTTTGCACACAAGAAAAGAAATCAAGAATTTGAAGAAATGGGTCTCAGGATGAATAATTCACAGCAGGATATTTGTTTCTTTAGTTTTTACACTCATAAAATCAAATATTCCAATAAGTAAGAAATTACAAGGCAAGTAAGTGGTGACTACTGTTTGGTATGAAAAATCAGAGAAACTAACCTTAACGTGATAAACACAGCAAGAATCATGCCATGGAAGTATATTCTACCATCACCAAGCGAAATTACCACGAAAATTACTGGAAGTTGCCTGCATTTTCATACGGAAACTTAAACATGGGCTGAAAGTACCAAATCTTTATGAAGAAAGAATTAGTCAAAATCAATTTACTTAGATTAAAATAGCATAGGATTCGCCGAGTTGACTTGGAAAAAATACTCAGTTAATTATGATAAGCTACATATCACAGTTGAATAATAGGTAAAAGGAGACTTTAAATTTTTTAAAAACTGCATCTTCCAACAACGAACAAGATATTAAATTCGAGAATGATTCTCTCATGAACTGGCACGAAACTGTTTTGGTCTACCAACTGAGACAAAGTCAATCTTACAAGGTAACACACACAAAGGCAAAACCGTGTGTTAAATCAACGGATGTACCTTGTTGGAGTCTTCGTAAATGTTTGGTTAGGCCTTTAAATGATTTTGTCTTCTATAGGGTGAAGGGTCTACCGTGTCCTTCTGGAACTTCATTGGCTTAAGCACAACCCAGATTAGACATGTAGATTAAAAGGATTAAACTTTTAAAAATTGTGATAAACATCATGACCCAAAATATCTTATGAGAACGGTAGTTTTAATTCAAATTTTCTACCATCTGTCAAATCATTTAACAGATCATTTATATCAGTTAGAGAAGATATAAAATAGATGGTGTAAGATACAAGAAAACTTACGTCTTGTTGTATTAATTGGTTCAACCGAGACCATTGCCAAGACCCCTTCTCCCCCCTAACCCCTTAGGAATATAGAGTATTGAATATTATGCAGCCAAACCCTTTTTGGCTTCCTCTTCAGATCTCAGAAAAAAAAGAACCAGAAAATTCTGCTTCACCAGATATTTGGAGACAGGGAAGAGGAACAGACAATACAAGAGATAGATAGAACTTCATACTGCAGGTCAGATTTCACCTTACTAGTTCCTTAAATTATCTTCCTTTTCTTGAACTCCTTATGATTACTGCAAAGAAGTTGTGATAACAGTTTAGAAAATAGAGATGTAAATAACAGTTTTAGGCATAATGTCTACAAACTTAAAAAATCTCATGATCAATGCTCCAATATCTTGACAATATTACTGCTGCAGGTCAGCTTAATAAAGAAAAACATGGTGAACTCCTATTTATCAAATTGCGCAAGCGTGATGGTTGAGAGGATTAATAATTCTCAAGGACTGGTCGAAGTATGTAAAGGAAAATCCTCCAGCGCGTTACTGAAGAGATTGAGGGTGGCTTTAACTACTGTGGATGCGGTGCTTGGAGATGCTGAGCAGAAAGCAGAAACTGTACCAGAAGTGAAACATTGGCTCACAGGAATCACAGACGTTTTCTTCCAGGCAGAGGATATTCTTGATGAGTTGCTAACAGAGGCTTTGAGAAGAAGGTTAGTAGCTGAAGCGGGGGTATTAGGACGATTCCAGAATCTCATGGCTGGTAGCGAAACCATACAGAAAAAGATAGAACCAAAGATGGAAAAAGTGGTTACACTACTGGAACATCATGTGAAACACAGAGAAGTTATTCGACTAAAAGAGTATAGTGAGATTCGACAACCACAGTGGAGGCAAGCGTCACGGTCAAGAACTGATGAACAAGGTAGACTGGTTGGGAGAGCAGAAGATAAAGCAGCGTTAGTTGATTTACTGCAATCTTATGATGAAACAGGAATCAGAAAAGCAACTGTTGTTTCCATTGTTGGTATGCCAGGGGTTGGAAAGACTACCTTGATGCAGATAGTTTTCAACGAGGATACTGTGACAGAACATTTTGATGTTAAAATGTGGATCTCTGCTGGGATTAACTTTAATGTCTTCACAGCTACAAAAGCCGTTCTGCAGGAGATCACTTCGAGTGCAGTTAATACTGAGGATCTACCTTCACTTCAAGTTCAGCTGAAGCAAGAACTATCAGGGAAGAGATTTTTACTCGTTCTTGACGATTTTTGGTCTGAAAGTAATGCAGACTGGGAAAGTTTCCACGTCGCCTTTACTGATGCAAAGGAAGGAAGCAAGATTGTTCTAACCACGCGAAGTGAAGTCGTCTCCACAGTTTTACAGGCTGAAAAAGTCTACCGAGTGAAGCTGATGACAAATGAAGAATGCTGGGAGGTCATCTCTAGATCTGCTTTTGAAAGTTCTGATGACCAACGATTAGAAGGAATTGGCAAAAAGATTGCAGAACAGTGTAAAGGGTTGCCGTTAACTGCAAAAGTCATCTCATCACATCTCAGGTCAAAGACAAAACCTGATGATTGGTACGATGTATCAAAGAATTTCTCAACTTACACCAATAGTATCCTTCCGGTTTTAAAACTGAGCTATGATACTCTCCCTCCTCTACTCAAGCGATGTTTTGCTCTCTGCTCAATATTCCCCAAAGGTTATGTGTTCGATAGGGAGGAGTTGGTGCTTCTATGGATGGCGATAGACCTCTTATACCAACCAAGGAGTAACAAAAGATTAGAAGAGATTGGTTACGAGTACCTTGATGATTTAGTTGATCGATCTTTTTTCCTGAGGTCGGACATGACAACGAAAACCTTTGTGATGCATGATCTCATGAATGATTTGGCTAAAGCTGTTTCAGGAGAGTTTTGCTTCAGACTAGAGGGTGACAATATTCCGGAGATACCAAGCATGGCTCGACATTTTTCGTTTTCTAGAAGCCAATGTGATGCTTCCGTGGCTTTCAGGTCCATCCGTGGTGCTGAGTTTCTGCGAACTATTCTTCCGTTTGATGTGCCATCGGGTCTTGAATCTCTCCAACTCACAGAGAAAATCTTGAATCCATTGCTTCAGGCATTGAGCAGTTTAAGAATTCTCAGCTTGTCTCATTATCAGATAACTCGCTTGCCTAAGTCACTAAAGGGTTTGAAGCAGTTACGGTATCTAGATCTGTCAAGCACCAAGATAAAAGACCTCCCAGAGTTTGTGTGTACCCTCTGTAATTTGCAGACACTGCTACTATCAAATTGCTGTTACCTGACTAGCCTGCCAACAAACATAGCCGAACTCATCAACTTGCGCCTCCTCGACCTTGTTGGCACTCCCTTGGTAGAGATGCCACTAGGAATAAGAAAGCTGAGAAGCTTGCAGAAGTTATCTAATTTTGTTGTAGGAAGGCTGAGCGGAGCCGGACTGCATGAGCTCAAAGAACTTACTGATCTCCGAGGGACTCTTCGCATCTCTGAGCTACAAAACGTGGCTTTCGCTTCAGAAGCAAAAGCTGCTGGTTTGAAAAGGAAGCAGTTTCTAGATGGGTTAATCTTGAAGTGGACTGTGAATGCTTCTAGCTTTGCCCCTGGTAGTCTTAGTACCTTGGCATGTGACCAGAAAGAGGTCTTGAAGATGCTGGAACCTAACGCAAACTTGAAAACGTTTTGCATTGAGTCTTATCAGGGCGCAGAGTTTCCTAAGTGGTTGGGTGATCCTTTATTCAGTAGTATTGCATCTGTCACTCTCAGCAGCTGCAACCTCTGCATATCACTACCTCCTCTGGGGAAGTTGCCTTCACTCAATTACCTAAGCATTGAGAAATTTAATATTTTGCTGAAGGTTGGTCTAGACTTCTTCTTCGGTGACAACACCTCTAACTTTGTACCGTTTCAATCCTTACAAACTCTGAAGTTTTATGCCATGCCGAGATGGGAAGAATGGATATCTCCGGAACTAGAAGGTGGGATCTTTCCTTGTCTACAGAAACTAGTGATAGAAAAATGCCCCCGGTTAAAGTCAAAGTTTCCACAAGGACTCCCTTCTTCAACTCAAGTCACCATCTCTGATTGCCCCCTAAGAGCAGTTCTTGGTGGAGGAGAGGGTTCCTCCCCAGGGGATATTAGCATAACTGAACCACCTTCCCCTATGTTGGATGCGACTCCAAGTTCTCAATCAGATAGAGGCACAAGTAGTCAGAGTAATAATGACACTGAAGTAACTTCGACGTCAAGCATGTCGTCTTTGCCAAAGAACCATCCACTATCAGAAGAGATGGCGCAATATATAACTCAACTCGAAAACCCACATCAGCATATTGAAGAAGAACCTGCTGTGATATCTGCAAGATTCTCAGAACTCATCTCCTCCGCTGATCTCAGCTCCCTACTGTCACAATCACCACTTCTTCCAGGTTCTGGTCACCCTGGAAGTAGTAGCAACCAGAACCAGCTACTTGTTCCAAGTGGACCATCTAGTGACAACGGTATGACCAGGCCTTCACAATCAATCGATGAAACAGACATGGAATACATAAAAGTGACAGACATCTCTCACCTCATGGAACTACCCCAAAACCTCCAATCACTCCACATCCACACCTGCGACGGCCTCACTTCCTTACCCGAAAACCTCTCCGAAAAACATCCAAATCTCCACGAACTCCTCCTCGTCTCATGCCATTCCCTACAATCCTTCCCACCAACCACACTAAAAACCCTCTACATAACAGACTGCAACAAACTCAACTTCCAAGAAACCTTACAACCAACACGCAGCTACTCACAGCTCGAACACCTCTTCATCGAACGCAGCTGCAACAACAACAACCTCATCACCTTCCCTCTATCCCTCTTCCCAAAACTCAAATCCCTCTCAATCACAAACTGCGAAACCTTCACATCCTTCTCCATCCACGACGGACTAGGGGACGACAGAATCTCACTCAAAGCCCTAGAGATCAGAGACTGCCCTAACCTAACAACGTTCCCTCACGGAGGCCTCCCAACGCCGAAGCTCTCCTCATTGCTAATCTCAAACTGCAAAAACCTCAAAGCCTTACCGGAGAAACTCTTCAGCCTCACGTCTCTCCACTCACTCTTCATAATCAAATCCCCAGGGATAGATTCCATCCCTGGAGGAGGCTTCCCGAGCAATCTACGAACACTATGCATCAACCTATGCCCTAACCTAAGGCCTAGGATTGAGTGGGGGTTACGAGATTTAGAGAATCTTCGGAATCTTGAGATTGAAGGAGGTAACGAAGGGATTGAATCGTTTCCGGAAGAAGGTTTGCTGCCGAGAGGGATTTTTTCTCTGAGGATAAGTTGTTTTGAGAATTTGAGTAGGTTGAATCGGTTAGGGTTTCGAGATACGAAGGGTTTGGAGACGATGGAGATCGACGGTTGTGATAAGTTGAGGATATCTATGGAGGAAGATCTTCCTCCTTCTTTGTCTTGTTTGAGGATTAGCTCTTGTTTGTTGGTTACTGAGAAACTTGCTGAGGAAGGAACGGAGTGCGTGTTTAGTGTTCCGTATGTGGAAATAGACGGTGAGATTTTTTCTTGAGGAAATGTTTTGTAATGTGTGTATTAGAACTTGACCCGCACCCCCGTGCGGGTGTTTAATTTTATTTGTGTTCACCGTAAACTTATAAACTGTTGATTTTAAAAAAAAAACAAATTAGATATATTTTTATATTTTGTAATTTACATATAGAGTAGAATATATTATTTTATAATATAAATGTTTAATAATAATTTTTATTTATACATAATAGTATATTAGAAACTTTATAACTTGATGCAATTTGATGTAATTGTACTATTTATATATTAATATGTTCTTTTTTGTTAATTTATTTTAATATAAAACAACATACTGAAATTTAATTTTTTGGATTAGTTTTCTATGAATTATCATTAATTTTATGAGATTTTTTTCTTAATAATTAAACCCTCAAAATTTTATATTTGACTATATTAAATAAGGTAATACTATATTTAAATTTTTTTATGTAATATATACTATAGATTTCAGTTTGTGTTTTTATTTCATGACAAAGAAAGAAAACATATTGTAATTAATTCATTTAAATTAAATTAAATGCAATGGTAGAATTTATAAATAAAAAGAAATAGAAAAGGAAAGTATTTAATTTATTATAAATACAATGGCTAAATATGTAAATAAAAAGAAGTACATATCTCTACTATCTATGTTTCCAAACATATCTCACTTATCCTACAATCTTTGTTTCCAAACAGTACCAAAAGGTACTTCAGTTTTAATAATATAGACTAGATTTTGACCCGCGCAACCGCGCGGGTGTTTGTTTTCGTTTATAATTAGTTAGGTTGCGCGAGTGTTTGTTTCGTTTATAGTTAGTTATATAAACATTTTGTTTTCACTTGTAAATTGGTATATATTTTAGTAATCACATATTTACGATATATATAGTAAATGTTTTTCAAACATAATAATATTATATAATAAGTGTTTTAATCAAAAAGATTGTTTCAAATTTTCTATATTATACATATTTTTCAAACATGTGTTTGTTTCTTCTTCTATATTTTATTGTTTGTTAGATTAGTATTTTATTTTTCGATAAAGTAATATAAATATAACTTGATTAAATATTAATATACTTTAATTTGCAAAGATAATATAAACTTCGAAGAAATTTTTGTTAAAAACTAAACTTATAGCTTCATAAATTAATATTATAAAGAATTTTATTAAAAAACAACTTTTTAAACAATTTCTTTTTTAAAACAATATAATTTTAAAAATTTACATCGAAATAAATTTTTCTCATATATATAGCGTGTAAATTTTGTTAGGGTATATAAATATTTCATATTACTAATATGTGATTTTTGTTAATATATTCTGGATGCATTTAACTATTATTGACATATTTCCTTATAAATAATAGAAGATTCCTAAATTTATATTTATTGACGTATTTTGCGTGACTAAGTTGGAAGATGTGGGGTAATTTGCCAAAACCAAATTGTTAAGCGTATCTTTGTTATTATAGATATGATTTTTCATAAGATATAATAATGATAAGATTATTAGAGAGTTACTGTAACATAACTTTCTAGTAATAGTTCATTTTTTAAAAAAAATCACACATGAAGCCAAGTCATGACTTTTGTTTTAATATATAAGACTAGAGTTTGACCCGCCCTTTCAAAGGGCGGGAAATAACTTTTTTAGTCGGCAAATTTACTAACCCGTCTTTTTGTTCACCAATATGTTTAAATATAATTTTCGGTTTTTGGTTTTGGTTTTATGTTGTTTTTTTTTGGATTTCGGTTTTAGTTCGATTATAGTTTTTCATTTTTTGGTTCAAGAGATATATAAACCGTTCAGTTATTTATGAAATAACTTAATATATTTATACTTGTGTTTACCCGACCCGGATCTATGGGATCAGTTTTTTCAAAAATTTATTTACTGGAAATTAGAAATTTCATACATGTATTTTTACTAAAAATTCTTTTATAGATAATTTAATTAAAATTAATAAATATAATTTGTTTAAATAAGATAATTCAATTATATAACCCGTCATTATTAATTTTACTTATATTTTAAAACTGTAAATTATAGTAAAAATTTATTTTTAATTTTTATATTGGTGAAAATTTATTTTATTATTACATAAATAAAATATATTTCATTCAACCCGTATCATACTATATTGAATTATTTTTAATATTATAATTTAAATATGAAATTATTTATTATTTTATATATAACTATTTTTTAATACATTGAAGTATGTGGTAAAATTCATGAATGTATGTTATTCTTTAATTTTATGATTTATAAAATATTTAATAAATGAAATAAGTTAATTTATATTTATTATTTGATGTATTAATTTAATTATGAATATAAATATTATGGGAATATTATTTCTTATCCTATAATGAAAGAATTAATATTTGTTAATAATATATTTGATATTAATTACAAATTTTATTATTTAAAAATAGATATTTAAAAAAATGTTTACATCTTAACTAAAAAGATATTAAAAGATATTATTAAAATGAAATCTTAGAAAAGGATACTTGAGAATATTTTTTTAGATATCTTATTTTGAAAATATTAAAATAATAGATTGAATATAGTATATATTTAATAATAATTAAGTTAGTTGTAGGAGAAAAAATAGAAGGTTAAATAAATTCTATTTTACAAATCTTGAAATATTAATAGATATTTGTTATATTAGAAAATAATTTGATAATAATTAATAGATTTATTTTAGTTGGACTGTTACAACATTTTTTGATAGTCCAAAAAGTAGTCGATAAAAAGTTCTTCTGTTTTAATAGTATTGATAAGTAGACAGTAAAGACCTAACTTGGTGCACACGTTATTTATACTTGACAGCTTATTATCTCAAAATAACGACTTTTCAAACATTTTTTAACCAGTCAATAGTAGTTTGGTGTGGTGGTAATAGGTAAAATCTAAAATGCTAAGTTTTTACCATTGTTTATTCGGAAATTATAGCGGAAAGATTATTAATGGAAATCACACCTACTAAAAGATTTACTCAATGGATAGCAGAAGATGAAACCCCTGAACTAGCAAAAAAACATCAAAGGAATGACAGTACTTTTTGGACAGATGATATAACCTTAAACAGAAGAAGAGCAAAATAAATAAATGAACTTGTAAAAGCCAACAACTTTTAAAAGCAAATGCTCCAAAAAAAAAAACGTTTTAAGAGAAAGATGATGAAACAGGGAGAAGTATCTCTGTCTGTAAAGAGAGAACCTAACAAGAACTCCAAACTCAGAAGCAGGATCATAGTGTTTCCAGCTACTAACATAACTGGAGATAGATAACTGTTCTAAAACGTAAAAGATAACGAAAGGAAAAAAAAGTTACTAAAGGAAACAAAATGTTTGCAATCATCTCTCTTCTGGAAAGCCAGCAAGATAGTCAAGTCTCTCTCTAGTTTGTGGATGGTGGTCGAGTGATTTGTGGCCTTACTGGTGTCTTTGACGGACTTACCCTGAAAAAAGGAAAGAAAATAGAGTCAAATATCCATTCAGTTGAGGTAAGTCAGAAGAAGAAAAAAAGCATTAAGATATTGCATTGATGAAGTTTTTACCTTATGGGTTGGGATCCAACTACCATCCCGCTGCAATTGAGCGCCCTAGTTGCACTATCTGCCTGTTCGTTTGAAAAGAAACACAAATATAAGTCTCTGAGCTTTGCAGTTGAAAACAAGTTCAAGGCAATATGTCAAATTATATATTAAGCCACACCCATGGATAAAGTTTATCATTTAGTGGATAGATGAAGAGCTTACCAGAGCAAATTCAACAAAGGCTATGCGAGTTGAGTGAAGTTGATCGCCAAGAAGCCTCAGACGAGTTACCTGCGTACATTTTTCAGGTTATTTAACAACTTATAAAGAGAGGGAGAGAGAGGAAGAAAGATCAGGTAGCTCTAGTTTCTGTGCTGACCTCACCACAAGCCGACTCAAAGAAGTTTCTCATATCAGCTTGAGAAACCTGCAGTTGTCCAAAAAAAAAAATCATAAACCAGGAAATTCTAGCAAGAAATACAACAAGTTCTTCACAAAATGGTCAGTTTTAAACCTTTTTGTCAATGTTTGTGCAATAGATTGTCCTTGAACACATCTCCCTTTCATCCTCAGACTGAATCAACACCAAACATAGTAGATATAATCATATAAAAGTAAATTCAACAGTGGAAACTCAAACCAAATTTGATGAATGGAACATGTGTGCTTACCCTAGGAAGAAATGTGGGATTCACTGGAAGAATAGCAGTTTTTGAAGGTAAGACCCTCACTGGGTAGTACCCTAGCATCGTTCCACCAAGGCTTAAAGCTTCATGTGCGCCCTCTTTTGGAAACAATTTTAACAATGCAAATGATTACTATGGGACAAATAGTGAAATTGTAACTTTTTGTTATGGCATTTTAAAATTCCAGAAGCCAAACTTACGGTCATCAGCAAACTCCACAAACGCAAATCGAAGAACTGAATGTGGATCCCCACAAATTCGACAGTCAACAACCTTCACAAAACAAGAACTCACTGAGTTACTTCACATACCACCAAAGAAACATAGAAAGTTCTTTGCAGTTATATTTAGCACATAAACACAGAAATCTCACTTTCACCATTTAGGCTTTAAAAGCTCAATCACCCATTTTTATAGACTAACTTTGTGTAGATTAATCACAATCACATTGTCCAAAAACCACCAAGGGGTAAAAGATATAACAAGCATTTAAAGATTAAGGGATGGATCATCTTACTTGTCCACAGTTACTAAACAAGGCAGCAAGACCCTCCTCAGTCACCTAAATCACAAAGAAGCTTTAAGTTACACTGATGCAAATTAACTCCAATTCTCTGTATGAACCATTCAAAGACAATTTAAAAAAAAAAACTTACACTCTGGTCAATGTCAGAAACATACACTGTTCTTCTAATACTATCCTCTCTCTGAGCTTTTGAAATTCTTCCAGTTAACCTCCTCCTCCCTTGGCTATAATTGTTTCTTCTCTGTAACCAAAAAAGCAGAACATAAAAAAATTAACACAAATCAAACCTATCCAACCAACATTTACAGATTTTCAACAACAAAAGGTCATCAGATCAATCTAGATTATCTATGATTTATTTTAAAAAGTATGCTTGAGATTATACCTTCCGGTTATTTTTTTATTTTTAATTTTTAATTTTTAATTTTTAATTTTTTGTGGTAAAATGTTGAGTACCTTCCGGTTATTGTCATCCTTCTTTCCATCAGAATCAAGTTCTTCACCAGATTGCTTCTTAGCCGTCGGTAAATCATCATCAACAGACAGGAACTGATTACCTTTTACAGTTTCACCGTTCTTCTTGGGACTGTAGTAAGAGGGAAAAAACTCCTTAGCCAAAGGATTCAGTTTCTTGAACATAGCCACCAGCTTCTGCATATCTAACTCCGATTCAGGTTTGAGTCCCGACTCAGTCTCTGGTTTCTCAGTTTTTTCATCAATGATCTTTTCAGCATCGTTGTTGATACAAATCTCATGAACATCTTTGACAACAACATCAGTGAGATCCTCAGTGATGGCAGCCATTGGATCAACCAAAGAAACAGAATTGCCAAAAACACTTCTCCTTAAAATAAAAAAATCAACACTTTTACAGAAATGATGAGCAAATTTCAAAATGTTACTATTAATTAAAAAATTAAAAACCCATTTTAAGAAACTCCACCAAATTAACGTAAGCAAACACAAGAGTGCATGATCTCGTAAATACTATTATATAAAATCAAGTGAGCCAAAATGTACTAATCAGGTCATTGGGAGATGAGAGTTTGCTATTACAGAAAGCTTTCTATGTTGTGTGGTTATGGCAATGAGCAAAGGAAGGAGATGGAAGTAAAAAAAAAAAAAGAAAAGGAATGATGAGACTTTTTTTGCTTCCGTTTTGGCCGCTCTCTGTTTTGGCCTTTTCTACGTGTTGCAAAGATGCTATATTTCATAAATGCTCAACTTTTATTTGTTTGCGAGGACTCATATTTTAATTATCTTTGCACTCTTATATTTTCATTTTCTTTGTATAAAGGTCTTATAGTTTATAACTTGCTCAAATTTCAGTGTAATTCGAGTCAATTTAAATTAATATTTTATTCTATAAGGAATCATATAAAGGTGACGAAATGGACGGATGGACCACCAGCTTTTATTTTTATTCCATTTCCTGATTATATTCTTCTTCTTTATTTTCTTTTATAGTTCCATTGTGTTGTTCCACATTTTACTTTTTCAAAACATTTTTTTGTGTCGTAGACTTGTTAAATAACTAATAAGTCCGTTGCCTGCTACTACTGCTGCATAAATCTTTGAGTTTGTTAGGATTTAATCTTCCTTTTTGGTATAAGTTTTCGTTTTTGCGTTTCTCTCCACACTTTTTTTAACAATAGATAATAATTTTATTCAGAAAGAATATAAACCAAAGACATAGTTCTTCAGCAACGGAATCCACCATCTTCGTAGTGAAATTTGTAAATTTTAATGTTTGTTACCATTGTAATTCTTGTCACTCTTATTAAATTGTAAAACATATTTATTGTCAGTCTAATCATGTTTTTTGTTTGTAAACAAGTGTTATCAAGTTTGATTACACAAGGATACGTTACTATAACTTTACAAATAATAAAAAGGTATGAATGCATCATCTTGTATTTCTGTATTTATGATTGCTTGCATCATCTTGTATTTCTGTATTTATGATTGCTTAACATTTAAATTGCAGACAGACTCAATTCTACCCATGTCCGAAAGTCCAACTTTCCAGGCTCATTTAGACCCATCGGTGTTTCTCGGAAACTCAGTTTGTCGAGAAAGGGACTTACTATTTATGTATGGTTTAAATATTTGGGCCTCACTTTATATACATGGGCCTACGTTTCTTTCTCATTACCACAACAACAATGTCGTATTGTCGATTACTTGATTAACAACAACGTACAACAAATATTTTGATTTTTAGGCGTGCATATAATTTATTATTCTCACAACCATTTATATCATATAAGGGAGGAGAGGGAATGAGGGATTATTTCATATTTGACAAATCCTAGACGACGATAAACTGGTTTACAGTGAAAGGAAAAGGAAAATAAAAATTGATGCCCGAAGTGAACCAATAAAACTTGTAGGTTTTTCAAATAAATATTACTGATGAATAGTGTTCATTCAATGTATACAAATATACAATCATATTCCACCAGTCTTCAAAAAAAATTTAAAAAAATCTTGAATTGTCTTAAGAGATCTAGAAGATGCCAATCTACCCAACTTTGTTTTATTTTTTTTCCATCTATTTGCAAATCAAATTTATAAGAGATTTCCTTCAACATTTATAGATGAAAGCATACTTTTATAGTTAAAGAAGAATTGACTAGAAGTGGCAGGGGAAAGTTATGTGTATGTTGGCAGGAAGATGCATAATATATTAACGTGGCCCGTTTTCATTAGTTACATATGTTTGCTTGTAACGAATTACATGAAAATATCATGTAAAATTCTCTCTTGAACCAAACTTCAAACTCTTAACGAAATCTATACATACAACGGTAACGATGTATATATAACAATAGAAACACAAGAATGGTAGTGTGCTGCTATTCGAGTTAAGAACGCCATAATATATGTTGAAAGGACAGTTACAAAAAAAATATATATATATATATATATGTTGAAAGGAAATACGAGTTTTACTGATAATATTGTAAAACATTGTGATTTTGTTTAATATAATTGACAAGTGGTCATATTTTAGGACTTTCCTTATTAATTCATGCCAGAGATCAAATCATTTCAATCGTAAAAGACCATATTAGTTGGCCATCTTTAAACACCTTAAATAGTAAGAAAAACTACTTTTGGTGATTTATGGGATTTAGTGAACATGGAATGTCCCCCATCAATCAAAAATTTAGATAAAGTAACATTGCAAGTTTTTCATTGTTTATCCAGTAATTATCCAACGCTTGAAGCTCACTGTAAATTCATGAAAAATATACTATAGCTGTGACTGAATGGTAGTTTTAGAGTAATATTTTACTCCACATAAAATTACTCCAAGTTCAGCTGGAATTTTGCCAATCAGGTTAAATATTATAATTTGCTAGTTATTCCAATCACTGTACAAATGAAGAAAAAAGCACTCCATGATTTACTCTAGCCTTTGTTGGCGTAACCAATGTTACTCCACTTTTCTTTCTCTTTCCACTATTTTTACCTTTTTCAATTTCAGCTGTTTTTCACTTTTTCATTTACTCCAATTTACTCTGAAATTTACCAATCAGACTGTATATGAAAAAAGCTAAAAATGAAAAGCACGAATTTTAGTTTTTTTATTGTAATTGAACGAATGTTTAAATAATTGCAAAGATTGAATTCTTCTTTTTACTAAATATTATCCCACCAAAATTATCATAAGGGAACGTTATTTGAAACGTGTACACTTATATACTGCGATGTTTGTTTTTAATGATAATCTGAATAAATGGTGGGTTTTTTAAAACTTTTTTTTTATAAATCTACTATATTAAAACAGAGTCATTCTTTTTATCTACTGATACAAGTTGTCATTTAAATTTGGACCCTTTCTAGAATGTTACAAATAATATAAGTCATATAATTGATTGAACAGTATTACTTAAATTAAACTAACACAATTAACGTAAAGAGACGACATTAATGTAAACTACCTTCAAAATATGGCAGGTATCTATGAGTATACCGAAAACACATATTTTCTCCTACAAATATGGAATGTTCTAAAAGAATATATATCATCAAAATATGGAATATGGAAATCTACCAATTATATTTAAATTAAACCAGTGGTTATTTATGGAATATAGTCTTGGGCTTACTTTTATTTTTTGAACAAATTATATAGTTTGGTTTTTGTGCTTAGTATTAAGAAAAAAACTCTAAAACATTGAATAAACTTTTTACCTTAAAAGATCAAAAATCAATTATTATTTTCAGACCTAAAAGGTATTTAATATTTTTAACAAAACAAAATTATCTATTATTAATCATTTATTTAAATCATGTACTTTAAAACATGTTAATATTTTTTTTATTCTAAATAACAATCACTTTGTTTTGATAAATTTCAATGGTAACTTTTAAATAATTTATTATTTTATTTTTCTTAAATAATTTATAGATTAAAAAAATGTAAAGCAAAACCAAAAATCAAATCTAAAAACTAAAATCCAAAACCAAAAGCTGAAAACACATGTTATATTTTTTTTGCTTTTTTTATTTACAAAATAAACTATTTCAAATTTTTTTTAATTTGTTGTCATCTTTTCAGTTTTGAGTTAGATGTTCGATTATTTGAGATTTGTTTGTTGGTAATATTAGTTCAAACTAACTTAGCGGGTTTAAAAACTAAAAACCCAAACCAAAAACTGAAAATGAAAAGTAGAAACTTAAAAACTAAAAACCAAAAACCAAAATCTAAAAATAAAAACTGAAACTAAAAACTGATGAAAAATAATAATCACCACAAATTTTGGTGAACTGATTTTATATCAAAATATTCTTTAAACTAAGACAAAACTCAATTATATAAATTTTTAATCATAAAAAATTTCCGCGCTTTTAAGCGCGGGTCAAAATCTAGTTGTGGATTAAAACTGATAATTAGAGAAGATGTCTGTTACTCCAACCGTTTCACTTTGGTTCCGTTTCACTTTGGTTGTCATTCTAAATTTTTACACACAGATTAAAAAATATTTAATTTTATATATTTTTAAATAAAATATAATTATCTATACAACTAACCACTTTTTAACCAATAGAAAAAAAAATACTATATAAAATTACTAAATTTTACTTCAAAATTTTAAAATAACGTTTAATTTGTGACAAAAAAATTAAGTTTAGAATGATAAGTATTGCGAGGGAATACTCAGGATTCGTTTAGCAAATAGTTAAAGCACTCGGAAATTTCAATTGAGTGCGGTCGGTTAAAGCAATTTGATTGACCGTTATAAACGCGTCAAAACAAAATCAGGTTTCGTCAAAACAAAATCAGGTTTCGACACGTTTTTCTCAAAGTGTCTTCTCCTGCCGAGACGATGATGTGTCATTTAATTAACGGTATCGCACATTTGGCGGCAGTTTTGAACCGTTGGAGAACCTTCTTTTTTCCTTTTGTACTTTCTTCTTGATAAATACTTGAGTGAATTGGGTAGAAATCCATAAGAAAATGGGAAATTAGGGATTTGCCATTTTTGGTGGGGAAAATAATAATGTGTGGGGAGGAGAGATAAAGGAAGAAAAAGGGTATAGAGTGAATTATGAGGTTTAGTGTGTGTATGGAGTGCAAATACTCTAAATACTTCTTCTATTTTATTAATGGTATACTATAAACCATGACAAGCACAACTATTTCAAAGAATCATCAACTCATCAAACACCATACGTAAATTGCCTTTTTCGTCTTTTGTTCACTTTCGGTATTCCTGCGCTAAAGCGTTGTCTAAATAAACTTCTTTTGTTTATGTTTGTTCCTAACTATACATATAAACATTGGTTTACCA